AATAAATATTGATTTTTCACATAAAAGAAACTTATGCGGTGCAACTTTAAGTATTGCTTTATAATCATACGCCGCAGTCCTTTATAATGTATTTAACTTGTTTCTTGATATTTGGCCTACCCTGACGAAAACCAACAGCCCTAAAAGCGCACGTGGATGGCTTTTCTTGATAAATCAAAGGCTGGCCAAATATCACGGAACAAGTTAAATCAACGTTTAATTGATTTGTATTCCACTAGATGGCGCTCTACCATCTAAAAATGTTTATGTGAGCGGTCAGGTTAGTTATTTTTTGTTTTTAATAAGCTATATGTTAAACCAGGGGTCGGGAAACTTTTGAATCGGAAGAGTCAAAAATTATAATTTACAAAATTTCAAAGTTTTTAAAGAGCCACAAAAAGTTTTCTTGCCAACAATAAACAGTTATAATATGTTGCACTAGCGCGCCATCTGTTATCAAAATTCAAAACTATTCTAAAGGCGTAAGATTCTTTTTGTTATAAATATGAATTATGATAACAATAAACAGTACTCACATAAATAATATTTGCATATAGAACTATATAAAGAGTCACAGCTTCACATTCAAAGAGCCGCATGTGGCTCAGTTTGCCGGCCCCTGTGTTAAACTTTCAGTTAGCTATATGTGTGAAATGTCTTAAGGTTCGAATCAATGTTTTGGTGGAGATGGATAACAAGCATCAATATAGCATTTTTATATAAGGATTTATAGCTAAAAATATAAATAAGAAAACACTACGCCATAAGATTTTTAATAAAATAAAAATGTTGATTTATGATGTATCGTTTTCAATATTTTATTCTATAATATATGAAAGAAATATAAAAATAAATGTCAAATTTTGTTTTATTATAGTTTTATTATCTACAAGGTTTGTGTTTATATTGAACACATATTTGTTATTGTGTTCCAATATGTGTGTAATTTTTGCATCAAATATAAAAATGATTTTTTTTCCAAACGACAAGATCCTATAACTCTAATAAATCTTACACTAATTACAAAACCTATATTAATCCCCCAATCATCTTAAACACTAATTAGGGTCATCAGAAGATAAACGAGGTCTCCCTTCTCTTCCCTTAAATATATATTGATCCAAAATTAAGACGAAAAGTTGCATATTAATAATATAAATACAAAAATTTGCATATATTGGAAACCGTTTTTATGTAGAAAAATCCACCAAATCTCTATGAATATTGATTGGCAAGGATTAAAGAAAAGTTTCTAAAGATTTTCGATAGTTGAAACTTGGGTAGCAGAAGACACTGTGGAAATATGCAGTAGGATCGTCTGCTTTGTTTTTATTTAGGAAAATTACTTTTATTATTTGGTGTTATTAAATATGCTTTAAAAAGTATGCCAGGGAAAAATCAATAGCGAAAAAAATATATATAAAATAATCGTTATTAGCAAAAAATAATATATTTACAAATAATTTGCTTGAATTGTAAATTGTAAGAATAACGTTTAAAATGAATTATCCTGGTTCAAATTCACATAAATAGGTACCGCTCAGCAAGAGTAACCTAGTTCATGATAATTGAACATTGAATAATATATGAAGGTTATTCACATATTAAACAAAATGTTAACGTGGGATTCAATCCCGGTTCATGGCTGTCGGGAATCGAGGGGGTTACCCACTCGTCCACCGAGCTATTTTTGCGTAAAAATGAATTATACATTTTATATGTAATGAAAGGATGTAAACAGAATCGAAAAATGGTGTTTAAGAAGAAATCTGATTCTGTGTGTGTATTGAAGACTAGTTTTGTATTTTAAAAATTAAGTTTTTTTTATCTCTTTAAAATTAGATATATATATTTTATTATTATTATTATTATTAAAAAGGCATAAATAATTATTTTATTATTACAGAAGCAGGAAGTCTATCAGACTATTGTGCTATTAATATATATATTAATATAATATAATTAATATATATATAATATAATTAAATATACATTGGATCAAAATATCATTTATTTTACCAATATTTCAGTTGGCTGAACGCCAACCTTTATCAAGGTGTTATAACATATTATAATAACTTGGAAAATGTTGGAATTCAGCCAAATGGAATATTGGTAAAATAAATATTTTGATCCAATGTATATTTAATTACATTATAGTACAATAGTCTGATAGACTTCGTGCTTCTGTAATAATAAAATAAAAGCCAATGTATATATATGCCTTTTTAATTGAAGATATATTTATGGATTGCTCTATTTTCAATATATATATATTAAAAGAATTGCATATTTTGTATCAATATAATTTATTTAAAATATTTCCGATATTTCGATGAGGCTGTTTACCTATCTTCCTCTGGGAATTCAAACTCCATCTAAGTCCATCATCCGCGTGATGCACGAGAAATATTGTTTATATAAGTTGGAGTGACCGAACCATTTTTGAATGAATCAATTATATAATCAGAAATAAAATTCTATATATATTATATCTTCAATTCTTGTTTTTTTTTTCTATGTTCTGCTTAAATGACGCGTAACTGCCGAGGTAAAAGCGTGAACTTGTTATAACCCTATATTGTTACATAAAAAAATTAAAACCTTTTTGATACCCAAATAGTAATATTTTATAATTTGTTTTTAATCATCTTTAATTTACAAATCTCTTTCATATAAATTATATTTAATTCTACTATATATAAAAGGTCAGGTGTTGATATTAAAAACAAAAAAAGGCATATCCTGACCAGGCTCACATGAGCATTCTAGATGGCAGAGCGCCATCTAGTGGAACAAAAATAAACTAAACGTTTATTTAACTTGTTCCGAGACATTTCTTGATTTCTCAGGAAGCCTCTACGACCAAATTGGTCATGTGGAGAAATGCTCATGTGAGCCTGGTCAGGATATGCCTTTTTGTTGTTTTCAATATATAAATATAAAGAAGAGCAATAGGAAGATAATATACAATACATATCCATCCAATAAAAAAACATGGACATTATTTATTTCATTTTAAAGAGATATATATATATATATAAAAAACTTAATTTTTAAAATACAAAACTAGTTCTCTCAACACGCACATAGAATCAGATTTCTTCTTAAACATCATTTTTCGATTCTGTTTTTGTTTTCAGTTTCAGAAACATGAATTATAAACCTTTATATTGGTTTTCGTAAAGATAGAGGTTGCCTGGCCGGCATTCATAGTTCTTCAAATTAAAGATACTTTGGCCAGTAAATATTTTTTATTTAAAAGATTTACTGGCCGAAGTATCTTTAATTTGAATAACTATTTATATTGGTTATTATTTTCATGTTCTTCGATTTGTTTAATCATTTATGTGATTCATACCGAAATGTCCAATATCCTACCAGTGAGTAAACAAAGTAATCAAACAGGGTTCTGGTATACCTGTAAGTTTAAAGGTCGCACTGCTTTCAGCATGACATGTGGTACACTTATAATAAAAGCAGTCGTTAACTACCTTCAATGATTATCATAGATTTTACCATGTATACTTGGGATATCTGAAAAAAATAGCTATATTAAGATACTCTTCCTTCCCTATATCAATATTTGGTTGTAGAAAATAGTCATTAGGAGCCAGTTCTGGAGAATAGGGAGGCTGGTGAAAAACAAGAATATTATGTGGGAATTGGGCCACGATCATAGTCACACAAATAACAACAGATCAACACATAATATGTGCGGATACACCTCACGGTACATACCGACTTCAGCAATGAAATAGTGGATTCAAGTCCTGTAGGATTGACAAAACCTGTTGGTCTTAATTCAATGGACAGACAAAGCTCAAAAATGAGATCAATGAAAAATGATCTAAAAATACAAAGGTCGCCTCTCCCGTCAAACAAGACGCCATCTATTGACCGTCGCCGCAAACTAGCGGCCTCGGGTTGGTGACAAAGCCACAACACCAGCTTTGACAAAATGGCTGACGAGGGCCATTAGTCCGAAACCAAGGTCTCTAGGTGGACGCTTTTCAGTTTGTAAAAGCTGGAGTTGTGGCTTTGCCACCGACCCGAGGTCGCTAGTTTGCGGCGACGGTCAATAGATGGCGTCTAGCTTTGACGTCTATTTTAACGGGAGAGGCGACATTTGTCCTTTTAGATTAATATCCTCGGAAAAATGAGTTATAGCTGCTAACAAGGCCCTGTGAATATTTGCAGAGTTTATTTATTCAGATATTGGGAGTCAAGCTTTAGCGCGGTCGCGCTTCATTAGGTCACTGGCTCCGCAAAGACGTGAAAGACGTGTGTTGCACGCCTTTTCGGAGCCAGTGGCCTGATGAAGCGCGACCGCGTGAAAGTTTGCCTCCCAATATCTGAATAAAGAAACTCTGAAAATATTTTTAAATTTATTAAATTCAATTATTCACAAATATGAACACCATTTAGTGTTCTCTATCACTGAAACCGCTGGGAGGGTTCACCACCAATGAGCCATGCCTTTCCTCTTTCAATTTTAACTCATTGCAGTATAGGGTCTGTAGAAATATGTTTTATTATATTTTTTTAAATAGAAAAGTACCGCTAATATACACTCATAGACAAAACTTAAAGTATATCGGGATTCAGACAATAACTCTGAAAGATATTTGATACACAGTAACCGTTATTGAAGTCACACGAGTCACAGCAGTTAATCTACAGCTGGGAGAGTTCACCACTGATGAGCCAGGCTCTCCCATTATTTTATCATTGCAGTAAGGGCAGTAGAAAATTGATTTATTTTTAAATGAAGCATACGCGTCAAAAATATTTCAAATTTCCTATACCAGATGGCGCGATAATACATTATATAAATATTGTGCTTTTAAAAACTTTTACTTGCAATTGGAGGAAGAGCAATAATGCTCGAAGCATTAATATATACAGTTATCAGCGTCATAATCAAGCAATAATTCTTAATTCTGTCACCGCTTGCTTTGTGAATGGAATAAATACCCAAATATGGCCATTTCTCATAACCATCAGTGGTTCAGTGGTAGAATGCTCGCCGCCTGCCACGCGGGCGGCCCGGGTTCGATTCCAGGCCGTTGCATTTTTTTTTTTTTTTTTTTACAATTTTTAAAACTCATTTATATATTATACAAGAATGACATCCACGGCGCCAATTTATAATTGTAACGAATAGTATTTGAATAAAAGCATTTAATCGGGTAAAACCGGCTATTCGGCTAGTATTATATATTTATCATGATATGCATTTCTACTGTCCTCAATGCTTATGTCCATAGTTCAATTAAAATACCCCTTCCAAGAGTTTAGCTTCAGTATCAGTATAAAAGGGAAATCGAAAAATGCAATATTACAGCGGTATGGTAGATTAAACTGGCGAAACCGCTGGGAGGGTTCACCACTGATGAACAAGGCTCTCTCATTATTTTATCGTTGCAGTAAGGGCAGTAGAAAATGTATTTATTTTTTTTTAAATCATATTCGTCAAAATAGTTTAAATTTCATATCTATATATATATAAATGAATGTTTGTATGTCTGTTTGCTTGTTTGTATATGTCCTGTATACAAATTCGCAGTAGTTCACTATTTAAAACCAAAATTTCCATACATAGGTAAAAAATACGGGGAAGACGATAGGCTATTTTAAAAAATATATAAATCAATTATTAAAACTATATATTCAAATTATTCTACTTAGCTCGCGAGCAGCGCCTCTAGCGGTGAAGATGGGAGGTAATATCAGCTGACCTAATGTACATGTAAATTTTGGAGCGGGACGTTTCACAAGAGTGACATCCACGGCGCCAATTTATAATTGTAACGAATAGTGTTTGAATAAAACATTTAATCGGGTAAACCCGGGCGTTGCCCGGGTCATTCGTCTAGTAATATATGAAGATATCCACATATAGTTGTGTAGGTTGATATCCATGTACCAAAAGAGACACCTCTCTCTTTAATTGTGCATCAGAACGATGGGCCTATGCACATCAACCCAGTGAAAAAACTTTACTAGTGATTATAAAGAATGAGCCCCCCACAACACCAGTTCTGGCAAATTCATTCTTCCGCAACTTTATGTTGTAATCTTGCCTGAAACTCGGCCCTTGCCACTTCACCAGCTTAAACACCTGTTTGTTAAATTCAACCGATTTCATAACCCTTCTCGTAAGATGTTATGAAATCGAAGCCGCCCCTGTATTAATGAGGACCTAAGCCCGGAACCATTATATAGGTATACAGGTTGGTCTTTTTGTCTGAATTTTCCAAAACTGGTGTTATGGCTCATTATTTATCATCATTAGTAAAGTTTATACTAGGGTGATGTAAAGTGCCATCGTTCTGATGTGCAATTAAAGGGAGAGGTGACTCTTTTGGTACATATAAAGATATGAAAAAAAGGCATCTCCTTATCTACCAATTGAAAGTTGCTGATGGCTTGCGCCATCTATCGGAACAAGTATAACAATAATAAACATCAGCAACTTTCAGTTGCTAGATAAGGAGATGCCCTTTTATTTTCTTAATTTATGCACCTTATCCCAGTACAATATCACATTTGTAGTATATTTTCACATATAAAGATATTTAAAACTTTAAAGAAAAAGGCATATATTGAATCAAAATGTCATTTATTTTACCATTATTTCAGTTAGCTGAACGCCAACTTTCAACTGGACCCTTGACTTCAGCCAACTGAAATATTGGTAAAATAAATGATATTTTTGATCCAATATATGCCCTTTTATTTAAAGATTTATTTATGGATTGCTCTATTTTCGAAATATAAAGATATGTAATTTATATTCTACTGGAAGCAGGTGTGCCTTACGCTTTGATATTTGAAATAAATAAAGGAACAAATTGACCTATTCGGTCTTTAAGCCGCCGATAGTGAATAAAGAGCAATGCCAGCGCTATCGTCTAAGATACCATTGTCCAGTATTAAGACTGGTGAAAGCGTTATTAGACTGCTTATTAACTGCTTCTGTGACGGTATTTGGGGATAGAGGTGGGATTCGACGATAACTTCTCTGAAACTCACGCGTTATCCAAGCCTAAACGTCAATATTTCATATCACCCCAGACTCGTCCCCAGACAAGTCGGCAAACTGCGGCTCGCGAGTTACATGCGGCTCTTTATATAGTTCCATACGCAAATATTTTTATGCAAGTACTATTTATTGTTGGCAAGAAAAAAATTGTGTGGCTCTTTAAAAACTTTGAATTTTGTAAATTGCCATTTTTGACACTTTCTACTCAAAAGTTTGCCTATCCCTGCCCCAGACCACACCGAAGGTAAAAGCACTAAAATAGGAACTGCAAGTTAGCTGATGGAGTAATTATTTGTAGAATTTTCCACTATTTCCACTATGTGGCTAAGGTGGATGTAACATTACTTTGGACCTTTGTCTCGCCAAAGTGGCTGCTGGATTCTTTCCTCTACCTATATCCAAAGTTGAAGGCAATCTCCGCCTTTGTCAATACGAAGGTCTTCAGCACGTTAGACCTGACCTCTGTTTTCTCAGATATAGTAGAACCTCCATGAGAGGAGACTCCCGCTAGAGGAAACCTCTCTACAAAGGACAGTTTTCATTTGCAAAATTACCATTTTAATATTTAACAACTCTCCGGTAAGAAGACACCTCTCCCTAAAGGACACTTTGGCTCTGCAATTAGATGTCCTTTACAGGGAGGTTCTACTGTACCCGCATAAAGTGGGATAATTTTGCATTTTTTCCATCCCGAGCGAAATACCTACTTGCTACCTATTAGCTCGAAGCACGGAAGAACTCGGCACAGACGTTCCAATAGGCCATATGGACCTAATCCTGAGAGATATGTTGTTAAAGTGGCATCGTTCGTATATAAACGACGTTTACAAAGACTTTTCCGAGTAGCATGTAGTGAACCTTATCTGTTCTACCTAGGAGCCTAATTCATATGTCTAATTCCAGAATTCGATTGAATAAGAAGAGATCAAACCACTTTTCCATAATGGTGCTGCACTCGAGGATTTGCAAAAGCTCGATAACATCAAGACTGTTAGGAGTCTTCTAAGTATGGTAAACTACTACCAATGCTTCATATTCCATACATGCGAGTTCTTTGCACCTTTGAGCGATCTGTTAAAGAAAGGACCTAGATTCACTTAAGAAAAGCAAGCAGTGTTTAAAACAATAAAGAGCATTCTAAGCAGTGAACCGATGTTGTCTCATTCAGCACCTAACAAACCATTCATCCTCAACACAGATGTCAGTTGGGGAAGCTCAGAGAACATGCATACAGCAGGAGGAGACAGTGAAAAAATTATTCTATATACAGTTACGAGCGTCATCATCTCTGTCACCGTTTGCTTTTTTTTGGAATGGCGCTCTCCTATTGGTTGGCTACGATCACGTGGCTACGATGGCGCCGCCACTACGCGAGACACTTTGTTTTTGACTTTGCCCCCCCCCCCCCACTCGCTTTTTGGTTTTTGTAACTATTGTGTTGGAGCGGGTCGCTCCTTAAATAAATGCATATATTAGTTAATAACTAAATGGAATCCTCTCTTTCTTTTTCCCAGTAAGAGACGCCTACGGAAGCCAACAGTACATAGACAGATAAAGCACATAGGCTATAGTTATTAACAAATATATGTATTTATTTAAGGCGTCAATTTATAATTTTAACAAATAGTATTTGAATCAAAACATTCAATCGGGTAAAACACGGGCGTTGCCCGGGTCATTCGGCTAGTCTTTTATAATTAACAGCTGACTGGACCCGAGCTCCGCTAATCCACAACGCAAGAGAACTATGCAGTGGTACTTTTACTATAATATTTAAATACTTCTTGGCTAGAAATAGTTTGGAGGTGCCTATTGACCCCAAACTAACCATGTACATATTATTGAAGACACATGAGATAACCAAGTGTGAACAAAATTGCCTCCGTCTCCTTAAAACAAAATAGATGGCCAGCAATATCAGTCTTTCCACATCCTTAAGTTTTGTTTGTGAATGTATATTCAAAAAATTAGAACCAACAAATAGTAAACATGAACATGTGTGGATTGTAGCATATTCTTGTACTGTGTGAGGTAAGCATTACAAAATTGTAACATTGGATTATTGAATCAATTTCTTTAGAGTTTTATGTTTTCTGCTTTATTTACAAACATCACCATTTGTAACGGGAGTCGGTGGAAGGATGGTCTAAACCCTTGGTTTTCGACCGCTATGACCCGGGTTCGATTCCCGCATTGGGCACTTTTTTCTGAATAAAAAAAAAATGCTTCAATGACCCCCGTTTCTTGCAAAAGTCCAACCCCACCAGTGAGTGCAAGTAACCAAACGGGGCTCTGGCACATTTGTAAGTGCAAAGTCAAACTGCTTTTCTCATGTGTAGACATGTGGTGCACTTACAGTAAAAGCAGTCGCCTTCTTCTACCCACCATGATTATCATGGCCTGTACCTCGTGTACTAGGGATAAGCAACCATTTGTAACATCTGCCCATATAGGTACTCTGTCTGATATGTGATTGAAAGAAAGAAAACTCAAGGAAACGAAATACGAAAAAAAAAAAAGAACATTTATTGAATATATCAAATCACAACTAAGATGTTAGGTGATGAGAGTGATATGTACAAAAAAAGGTCAAAAGATTGTCGATATAGGGGTAAAGTTAACACAGCATTTAGGGTATGTGCATTTCATCAATAAATCAGCAGGTGGAGATTTTCACTCATACGGCATATAACAATAATATGGCTAAAAGTAATTGCATAAGCAGCCAGGATGATCATAACACACACAGTAGCATATTATCATATATTGATTGAATGATTATTTTAAAATGTTCATGATATATTAGCCCCCACATTGTATTTGAAGATAAAACATTTTTCCATATAACAGCTTCATTAATATATAGCTCTGTCTAATCGAAATTTAATGACAATATCATATATGGGAGATTAAACTATCAAAACAGCTGGGAGGGTTCACCAATGATGAGCCAAGCCCTCCCATCAATTTATTATTGCAATAAGGGCAGTAGAAAATTATTTTATTTCAAAAAGAATCATATGCAT